GCAGGTGGGTGGGTGGGCGAGCAGGTAGGTGGGAGAGCAGGCAGGTGGGTGAGCAGGCAGGTGGGTTGGCAAGTGGGTAGGTGAGCGTGCAGGCAGGTTCAATCAGGCAAGTGGGTGGGTGAGCAGGCAGGTGGGTGAACAGGTGGGTGGGTTGGCAGATGGGTAGGTGGGCATGCAGGCATATGGGTGTGCAGGCAGGTAGGTAGGTGGGCATGCAGGCAGGTGGGCTGGTGGGTGAACAGGTGGGTTGGTTGGTAGGTGGGCATGCAGGCAGGTGGGTGGGTGGGTGAGCAGGCAGGTTGAGCAGGCAGGTGGGTGGGTGGGTGAGCGAGCAGGCAGGTGGGTGGGTAGGTGGGTGAGCGAGCAGGCAGGTGGGTGGGTGGGTGAGAAGGCAGGTGGGTGAGCGAGAAGGCAGGTAGGTGGGTGGGTGAGCGAGAAGGCAGGTAGGTGGGTGAGTGAGCGAGAAGGCAGGCAGGTGGGTGGGTGGGTGAGCAGGCAGGTGGGTGGGTGGGTGAGCGAGAAGGCAGGCAGGTGGGTGGGTAGGTGAGCAGGCAGGTGGGTGGGTGGGTGGGTGAGCGAGCAGGCGGGTGGGTGAGCGAGCAGGCAGGTGGGTGAGCGAGCAGGCAGGTGGGTGGGTGGGTGGGCGAGCAGGCAGGTGGGTGGGTGGGCGAGCAGGCAGGTGGGTGGGTGGGCGAGCAGGCAGGTGGGTGGGTGGGCGAGCAGGCAGGTGGGTGGGTGAGCAGGCAGGTGGGTGAACAGGTGGGTGGGTTGGTAGGTGGGTGGGTTGGTAGGTGGGTAGGTGGTTGTGCAGGCAGGTGGGTAGGTGGGCGTGCAGGCAGGTGGGCAAACAGGTGGCTGGGTTGGCAGGTGGGCAAACAGGTGGCTGGGTTGGCAGGTGGGCATGCAGGCAGGTGGGTGGGTGGGTGAGGAGGCAGGTGGATGGGTGGGTGAGCAGGCAGGTGGGTGGGTGGGTGAGCAGGCAGGTGGGTGGGTGAGCGAGCAGGCAGGTGGGTGGGTGGGTGAGTGAGCAGGCAGGTGGGTGGGTGGGTGAGCGAGCAGGCAGGTGGGTGGGTGGGTGAGCAGGCAGGTGGGTGGGTGAGCGAGCAGGCAGGTGGGTGGGTGAGTGAGCAGGCAGGTGGGTGGGTGAGCAGGCAGGTGGGTGGGTGAGCAGGCAAGTGGGTGAGCAGGCTGGTGGGTGAACAGGTGGGTGGGTTGGTAGTTGGGCGTGCAGGCAGGTGGATAGGTGGGCGTGCAGGCAGGTGGGTAGGTGGGCGTGCAGGCAGGTGGGTAGGTGGGCGTGCAGGCAGGTGGGTAGGTGGGTGTGCAGGCAGGTGGGTAGGTGGGTGTGCAGGCAGGTGGGTGTGCAGGCAGGTGGGCAGGTGGTTGAACAGGTGGGGGTAGGTGGGCGAGACTGGAAAGAAACAGATCACACACACACATCTGTGATCTCCTACCTGGTCACCCCCTCTCCCCACCTCACACCAGCCTTCCCAACTCCCCCTCCACGTGTGTCGACACGTGGGGTGTTGACATGTTGTACAGGACTATGATTATGACTAACATATGCGTCTTAAGTTTTGTTAAATCCCATTTTATTTTCTTGTAAATATTTAAAGCAATAAATAGCAAACCAAATACTGTACTGTAACGTTCAAATATTATTGTGTGTTATTTAATATTTGTAACTAGCTCTCCATGGCAATAAGAAAACAATATAATTTTTGCAACACTTCCAACGCCACCTTCCTTTGATAGGCTTAAGCAAGTCACATCTGGTACCCCACACACTCAACACTTCTCCCTCCCTCCCTGACCCACTCCCTACTTCCTTCCCTTCCCGATCAACTCCCTCCCTCCTTCCCTTAGGGAGGGAATTATGGACAGTTGAACTGTGATCTTTAAGACAGAGTGTATGGGATGTGGGGCAGGCGGGGGAGGTGTGTCGGTGGTGGGGGGAGGGACCAGCTCACTCAGAAAACACTACACACTCGACTCTGTTAGCAAGAATTGTTTCTTAAATCCTGGATGTACATGATCATATATATTTTTGGTTACAGATTTTGTTTAGCAATATCATTATGATAATAAAAAGCTATAAAAATACTTGTTTCCATGAATGCTTTATTGTATTGGATGGAAATTCTCCAGGCTGGCAATCTACTGCCACCTACAGAAGGATCTCTTGGGGAGGGGGGGGGGGGGAGGGAGGGAGGGAGGGAGGGAGGGAGGGAGGGAGGGAGGGAGGGAGGGAGGGAGGGAGGGAGGGAGGGAGGGAGGGAGGGAGGGAGGGAGGAGGAGGAGGGCAGTGAATGTGGGCGGGACAGAGGAAGTGAGCAGCAGTGAGGAGTGACTCTCTCCCTTCCTGGTGGTGGTGTACAACGAGTGTTAGGCCACTGATCCGGCCAAACACCCGCTAGTCTGGCTCCCATGAACATTTTGACCGGATGGGGAGGTAACTTTATCCGGCTATGATTTTGGCTGGATTAGGGCGTTTTCCAGATGGTCGGATTTTGGATTAGAGAGTGGATACAGTATTGACAATTTTTTTTACAGTAAACTATACTGAAAACCTATATTCTAAATATATGAAAATGAAGATCATATGCTATTCTGAGAGCATAATAACACCAAATAAACAATTGGTGATAGTTTATATTTTTGCAGCCGAATTCAAAATCTGAAGTTTTTAATATTAAATTTTATAATTATTTTTTATATTCTTGTTTTCAAGTTACACTGGTATCATTTACTAAAAGATGTAGTCTTTCTTAGAAAAGTCTTTCATATGAAGAAAGATTAATAAAGCTTAAATTGCATTCACTGGAAAAATGAAGAGTTAGGGGTGATATGATAGAAGTTTACAAGTGGATGAATGGACATAACAAAGGGGATATTAATAGGGTATTAAAAGTATCAACTCAATACAGAACTCAAAACAATGGGTATAAATTGGATAAGTTTAGATTTAGAAAAGACTTGGGTAAATACTGGTTCGGTAACAGGGTTGTTGATTTGTGGAACCAATTACCGCGTAACGTGGTGGAGGTGGGGTCCCTCGATTGTTTCAAGCGCAGGTTGGGCATGTATATGAGTGGGATTGGGTAGTTATAGATAAGAGCAGCCTCGTATGGGCCAATAGGCCTTCTGCAGTTACCTTTGTTCTTATGTTCTTATGTACTAAATACAAAAGTATTTAAGGAATTTCCTGCCTTAATTCCTATACATATACTGTACTGTATGCACTTTAGTTTTAAATAAGATAGGCTAATCATATATGAGCAATACTAAGAAAACTGACTATTAATTACAGCAAGAAATAACTGAATCATTTAATTAATACAGTACATCTACAAAACATTTATATTTATTTAAAATCTTTTCTAAAATAGTTTAAATCTTGCCAAAAAATTTCAATGAATAAAAATAAATGTAAATACCTATATATATCAACTAACAAGTTCAATGGTATTAACTGCAGAAACTATGAGACATCCAGTAATTTACAGATACTAATATCAAGTCACTAAAAGGATAATTTTATTTGCAAATATTTTTTTCAATCAAATTACTACTCAATAGTAGTGTCTAACTTAGCATCACTGACTGTACTTTTATGCTGGATATATGATAGGTAATTTCATACAAAAGAAGATTTTCTAATAAATTTTAAAACCTAGCCTAGCCTAACCTACTTAGCCTAACCCAACATACCCTATCATGGCCAAACCCAATCTACTCTAATGATATATAAAATTATTAATTTGGAAGCTAACTTGTGCAATATGCCCATATTCTACATATTCTATGTGTTAGGTTCTAATCATTTTGTGTAAACTTCATCCATTGTATTCATTTGTATTGGTTTTGTACATAAGGTTAGGTAATTATGAGGAAAAATCATTAAATCAGTATAACACTTAGAGATGTTCATTATAATATCATTTTATACGTGGCTGCATTTTTAATTCAATAATAATAATAATTCAATGTGTCTGGAGACAGGTAACCAGTGTATTTATACATGTTAGGCTAATATTGAGATCTCCCTCCCCCCCAGGTCGAATTACTAACCCCACCCAGGATGCAAGCCCACAAGAAGCTAATGCCTGGGTACCTACTTCCTGCAAGGTGAACAGGTGCATTAAATGATAAGAAACGCACCCAACCATTTGTCCCACCTGGGATTCGAATGCAGATTTTTCGATTGTGAGTCACAAACGAACCTGCCTGTACTACCGAGACGTCCGCAAATGTTTTGGCAGGGGAGGTGGGTCCCCAGTAGTATTAAGTGTTCTGTATAAAATATTAAATTATACACTTTACAAACTTGACATATGATAAATTAGGTCAGATTTGACAAATCTATATGCAAACCCCATGCTATATGACATTCTGTATCTTTGTGTTTCTTGTTACAACCTAAAAGATAATTGGTACTTGCATCATCTTAGTGATATTTTTGTTTTGCTTAATACAGAATTACTTTTACAACAATAAAACTGTCATTGTTTCTTTCTACATATCTCAAGAAAATATAAAGGTGTTGTAGTAGAATGTGTTCAATTCAGGGTTTTGTTCTGGCCAAGAAAATCTTACCTAACTTTAAACAATATATGCGAGAGAGGTGTTTCATCATTGTTAAAATAAAACAGGGTAGGATCTTATGTGCAAGATTTCAGATGAAACTTCACAAATAATAGTGACATCTCTCCAATGACATTTTAAAATACGTTTGTAAATCAACACAGCTATCTATATTATCACTATGTTCATATTAAAACTGGAATAATGCTCTAAATAAAGATGACCCAGTTTCTTTCTTAATCTTATTTTGCGATAACATCGGCTTTCAGGTCTGCCAATTAAGCTACAGACTTCATTTTATATACATTAATGTGAAATGTAAGCTGCAGTGGGTAGAGAGGGGTACATATAGGCTACACAGTCTGTGTATTACACTACATACCAGAAACTGCGCATAAAATCTACAGAACACGTACCACGTGACGTAAAATTCCTTGTTTACGCTCCGAACGTTAACATATCGCTTAGAGACATGCCACAGTAATTGTGAATTTCTTCGTAAAATCGTATTAACTTTGACTATGAAGCGGATTAATATAGTCCACAGTGTATGCTACAAGCATTTACGGGGTAAATTGCACATACCAAGGTCTTGATTTGGCCCATGTGGCAGACATGTTTTGATTAGGGAATTATGGGAACAAAAACGCGGGAAAATGTAGGTTACTCCGTCTTTACTTCTCATGGTATTAATATCCTAGAAAGAGCTATATTCAAAAATAAATTGTAAATTGATAGTTGTAGCTCTATCAAATATATATTACTCAAAAATCTTCAATGCTTAGAAAATTAATCACATTATTTTGGCTCGTTTTAAAACACTATAGATTTAGCATATGAATACTAGCTCAGCTACGATTGCTGGTGACGTCATACTACTACTCGCAACCCATTGAAGTGATTGGTGGGTTGTACTATGCCAGCGCACACGGCCATTCATGAGCGGTCCCTTTAAATTTTTGTAAACAACACATCAAATGTCCTGATCAGAGTGCAATTTTGTAAACAAAGATCCTTGCAATATCTAATAATAGCTATTAATGCTCAGCAACAACTTTATATTTACAAAAATGAAGATTTATGATCCAGTTAAGAAAGTAATTATAAAAAGGGTGCATATAAAAGTAACAGGTACTTAAAAGAAAATAAAGTTAGATATATATTTGAACAGTAATGAACACATAAAAAGTACACAAAAGTGAAATAAATAAATCATATATATAGATATACACATTATATGTTTAGGGTAAGGTGGTAAAACACTAGTCCCGCGAGCGAGTTGCCTGGGTCCGTAACCTGGCTGGGGAGGACTGACTGGGCGTCAATCATTAACTGTAGCCTGTTCACCCAGCAGTGAATGAGTACCTTTTTTTTTTGAGATATATACAAGAGTTGTTACATTCTTGTACAGCTTACGGGCTCTCCATAGCCCGGGCTACATGGATACTTGGTTCTGAGTAGCTAAATCTGAAACAACATCTTGCACAGCCACTAGTACGCGTAGCGTTTCGGGCAGGTCCCTGGAATACGGCCCCCACGAAGAATTGTTGTTACAACCAAGTACACATTTTACTGTTACGTTAAACAGAAGCTACAGTTAAGGATTGGCGCCCAGTAAATCCTCCCCGGCCAGGATACGAACCCATGACAAAGCGCTCGCGGAATACCAGGCGAGTGTCTTACCACTACACCACAGAGACTGTAGACTCCTGGTGGTCCACGGAGTCCGTAACCCTGGTTGTTAATTAGCGAGTCATACTCTGGGGAAAACTAGGATTAAGTACTTGCCCAAAACGCTATGCCTGCTAGTGGTCTTACAAGAATGTAGTAACTCTTGCATGTACAGTATAAAGAAAATACAAAATATATATAAAAAGATAGGTTAGGTTAGGTAAATTTTGACTCGGAGTAAAAAAAAATCAAATTAAATTATAGATAATGTAACGAAAAGCTTTATCATTCTGTAAGAAAAAAATTAAAAAATACATAATATCAGAAAAATTGGTTTGTTAGGTAACTTAGGCAATATATATATATATATATATATATATATATATATATATATATATATATATATATATATATATATATATATATTTTACAAGAAGCTGCACCATGCCTAGAAGCTACGACAACACCACATGACACTGCCCGACTTATAGCTGTAGCAGCTCCCCATGCAGGTGACTTCCTATTAGCAACTCTTAATGTCAGCAACTGGCTCTCGTCTCACACTGCAGGCCCTCCGAATTGCTATGGCTCTCCGCCTCGCTGCCCCAATCCACACCGAATACAGGTGTATTTGCGGCGAGGCAGTGGCCGACAGGCACGGACAGCATGGCCTTCTCTGCCAATGAACAGGAGGATGGCATGCAAGACTTGACAAGGTTAACGACATTATTAAGAGAAGCCTTACCACAGCCGGTTGTCCAGCAGCGAGAGAGACCCGTTACCTAATGCCCCGCAACTCTGATGAGCCTGTCAGTCGCCCAGACGGGATCATGGTGAACCCTTGAAAGAATGGTAGACAGTTGGTGTGGGGCTACACTTGTGTCTCAACTTTAGTCAACACCTATGTTGACTTCAGTGCTACACAGGCAGGAGGTGCTGCCAGTCACCGGGAAGCAGACAAGTCACGTAAATACAGAGACCTTGATCACCACTACAATTTTGTTTCCATTGCCTCAGAGACACTTGGTCCCTGGGGGTAAAAGTGCTGCTAGTTTTTTTAAGGGGCTGGGGTCCAAGCTAATTGAAACAACTAGAGACCCAAGAGCCACCAGTTTTCTCCTTCAGCGCCTTAGTGTGGCGATCCAGAGTGGAAATGCTCACTGCATCCATATGGTTCCTGCCCGCCATCTAATTACCTAAGTGTAGTTACAGGATGAGAGCTACGCTCGTGGTGTCTCATCTTCCCAGCACTCTGTCAAATAACTCTTTGAAACTACTGACGGTCTTGGCCTCCACCACCTTCTCACCTAACTTGTTCCAACCGTCTACCACTCTGTTTGCAAAAGTGAATTTTCTTATATTTCTAAGGCATCTGTGTTTAGCTAGTTTAAATCTATGACCTCATGTTCTTAAAGTTCCAGGTCTCAAGAAATCTTCCCTATCGATTTTATCAAATACTGTTACTATTTTGTATGTAGTGATCACATCACCTCTTTTTCTTCTATCTTCTAGTTGTGGCATATTTAATGCCTCTAACCTCTCCTCGTAGCTCTTGCCCTTCAGTTCTGGGAGCCACTTAGTAGCATGTCTTTGCACCTTTTCCAGTTTGTTGATGTGCTTCTTAAGATCTGAGGAGCTGGAGGAGCTCTACAACTTATGATAAGTATCCTAGTACCCTGCATGTAACCAGTGTTTTAACCCTTTTTGTGTAATGAAATTTTAAAATAAAGTTAGATATATATATATATTATACAGTATATATATATATATATATATATATATATATATATATATATATATATATATATATATATATATATATATATATATATATATATATATATATATATATATATATATATATATATATATATATATATATATATATATATATATATATATATATATATATATATATATATATATATATATATATATATATATATATATATGACACTGTCAGACCACGGAGGAAAAATGAAACAGGAATTTCCTTAAGTACTTTCGTATATTAATACATCTTCAGAAGATTAATATATATATATATATATATATATATATATATATATATATATATATATATATATATATATATATATATATATATATATATATATATATATATATATATATATATATATATATATATATATATATATATATATATATATATATATATATATATATATATATATATATATATATATATTATATATAATATATATATACTGTATATATATATATATATATATATATATATATATATATATATATATATATATATATATATATATATATATATATATATATATATATTAGTATATTTTGGTAGCAGTCTTTCCTGTAGACATATATTATTAAATATGACCGAAAAAGTAAAATTAATAATTCTAACACGAATTTTCTCAATCTTTCGTACATTTCGTTTCACTGTTGGAGGTAAATCAAAAATCAATTCTCCAAAATTCATTTTTATTTCTAGTCTGACGCGACACGAGCGCGTTTCGTAAAACTTATTACATTTTCAAAGACTTTAGTTCACAAATACACAACTGAATAGAACTTACGCATCTCCGATTTTATATCTACATTTGAGTGAGGTGGAAGGGGTGATGTGGCATTAACACAAGACAGAACAAGATGTGGTATTAATAGGGTATTAATTTCATCAACACAAGACAGAACAAGAGTATTAATAGGGTATTAATTTCATCAACACAAGACAGAACACGAAACAATGGATATTGAATAGAAGTGTTTGTAGAAAGCCTATTGGTCCATATTTCTTGATGCTTCTATATTGGAGCGGAGTCTTGAGGTGGGTAGAATATAGTTGTGCAATAATTGGCTGTTGATTGCTGGTGTTGACTTCTTGATGTGTAGTGCCTCGCAAACGTCAAGCCGCCTGCTATTGCTGTATCTATCGATGATTTCTGTGTTGTTTACTAGGATTTCTCTGGCGATGGTTTGGTTGTGGGAAGAGATTATATGTTCCTTAATGGAGCCCTGTTGCTTATGCATCGTTAAACGCCTAGAAAGAGATGTTGTTGTCTTGCCTATATACTGGGTTTTTTGGAGCTTACAGTCCCCAAGAGGGCATTTGAAGGCATAGACGACGTTGGTCTCTTTTAAAGCGTTCTGCTTTGTGTCTGGAGAGTTTCTCATGAGTAGGCTGGCCGTTTTTCTGGTTTTATAGTAAATCGTCAGTTGTATCCTCTGATTTTTGTCTGTAGGGATAACGTTTCTATTAACAATATCTTTCAGGACCCTTTCCTCCGTTTTATGAGCTGTGGAAAAGAAGTTCCTGTAAAATAGTCTAATAGGGGGTATAGGTGTTGTGTTAGTTGTCTCTTCAGAAGTTGCATGACGTTTCACTTTCCTTCTTATGATGTCTTCGATGAAACCATTGGAGAAGCCGTTGTTGACTAGGACCTGCCTTACCCTACAGAGTTCTTCGTCGACTTGCTTCCATTCTGAGCTGTGGCTGAGAGCACGGTTGACATAAGCGTTAACAACACTCCTCTTGTACCTGTCTGGGCAGTCGCTGTTAGCATTTAGGCACATTCCTATGTTCGTTTCCTTAGTGTAGACTGCAGTGTGGAAACCTCCGCTCTTTTCCATGACTGTTACATCTAGAAAGGGCAGCTTCCCATCCTTTTCCATCTCGTAAGTGAAACACAGCACGGAACTCTGCTCAAATGCCTCCTTCAGCTCCTGCAGATGTCTGACATCAGGTACCTGTGTAAAAATGTCGTCAACATACCTGCAGTATATGGCTGGTTTCAAGTTCATTTCGACTAAGACTTTTTGCTCGATGGTACCCATGTAGAAGTTTGCAAACAGGACACCTAGGGGAGAACCCATAGCGACCCCATCTACTTGCTTATACATGTGCCCATTGAATTTCGTTTGATGATTTGCTTCCAAATAAAATGTAGTGCTGAAGGTCTTTTCTGTGAGTTTGTTGTACACCCATAGTGGACTTTTTTTAATGCATTATTTACAACATTATTTAATGTATGTGGGTTGCGGGTTTGAGTAGATGAAGGTAGTATCGTCAGCAAATATTACTGTATAGGTTTAAGAATGTTAAGAGACATTTGGCAAATCATTAATGTACTGTATATAAGAAATAGATGTTCTAGGATGCTGCCCTGAGGCATTCCTACAGTTAATACTAGAGTGGGCGAGGTGGGCCACCAATATGTAGCACTGATGGCTACATATTGGTATCTGTCACAAAGATAGTATCCAAAATAGAGCAGTGCCTCAGACTCCATAGAGGTGAAGTTTAATTCAGAGGTAGTTATGGTTTACAGTATCAAAGGCCTTTCTCAGGTCAATGAAGAGCCCAATTGGGAATTCCTTTTTTGTCAAGGGCAGTGTAGATTATACCAAGCAGATTAATATTGGCAACGTTGGTACTCTTTTGAGAGTGGAAGCCAAACTGACAGGGACTTAATGTTGAATTTTACAAGGTAGGAGTAGAGCTGTTTGTGAATAATTTTTTCAAATATTTTTGATAATATAGGTTGATTTGATATTTGTCTGTGTTTATATCTGCCATATCGCCTCCTTTATTAATTGGTGTTACTGGCGTTTTTAAGGATATCAGGGAAAGTATGTCACTCTAGGGATTTGTTGAATAGCAGAGCTATGGGTGGTGCAAGGGCATGGGAAGCATTCTTGCATACCATAGATGGTATTTCACTAGTGTTCCCAGCTTTGGTTTTTAGTGAGTGAATAATGGACATAACACGTCAGGATGACTGATAAAAGGAGAAGAGTTAGGATAGCTGCCAGCAAGATATGTAGTAACATTACACACAGAAATCACAATAACATGATGCATCAAGTGAACAAATCCACAAAGGATTTAAAGTTGAATTCTTTTGACCGTGTCGTGGCACAGTCGATTAAGGCGCATCTGGGATCCTCTCGGACGTAGGTTTGAACCCTCATCACGGCCCTTGTGGATTTGTTCATATAGTAACATGTGTTTGGGTCTCTGGGATTTTTCTGGCAAGGTTAGCAGTAACTAATAAAATGAGATTAAATTCAGCTGCCATTTCTATGCTTGCTGCAAGTGTGTAACAATCCTTGGAGTTTTATCTGCTTGTTATGTGATTGTTTAGATCCTAGGATGTTAGAGATGGCTTTCCATGCTTCCTTTTGCTTCTTTGAATCTACTCTCATAATAGGAAAGTTTTGTTCTTATTATACTGGTAAGCATTGATGAGTATCTCTTAAGCATTTTTTTTTATATTCATGTTTCTTTTTTTATTTCTTTAAGTATGCCACTTGTGAGCCAGGGATTGTTTAATCTTTTGCCAGTTACTTGCTTGGTGAGGAAAGGACAGTGTATTGTAGTCTTAAGGTTTTGGAAAGGAAGTTGCTGGCTAATGAATTTATATCGGTGTATTATTGAATTCAGATTCCCATTTTATATTGTAAAGTGCATTTGTGAGATTGCCTATTGCCACTTTATTGTGTAGCCTGAAGGTAAGTTTCTTGGTATCCAATGTTATGTCCATGTTTGCCATGAGGAAGGTAGGATAGTGGTCAGTTGTTCTGTCAGTGATTATACCAGATGCAAGGGGCACCATTATGTTAGTCCGTAAGTGGTCCAAGGTAGAAACGGTTGTTTGAGTGATTCAGCTGGGCTTGGTGATTGTGAGGATTAGCACACACAAGTTCATGCTATTTAGGAAGTACTGTAGTTGATTTGAGGGCTATTTTGTTGACACAAGTCAATATTTAACTCTCCTAGAATTATGCGATTTTGTTGGGCTTGTTGTTTATGATTAGATTCCTTAGGTTATCTGAGAATGCAGTTGTATTAGTATTGGGAAATCTATAGATAGGTCCAATAGTCAGAGAGGATTTAAGGGATTTAATCGAGAATTGAACAATAATATATTTACAGTAGTCGTCTCTATTACTAATGACACTATTGCAAATTAAATTAATTTGGTAATAACTGTGCCACCTTTTTAATTTGAACTACAGTTGTGAATAACTGTATGTAACTGGCTAAGTTGTAAAGTTGGGTATGGTCTTTACTTAGCCATGTTTATGTTAAAATAATGAACGATAGTTTAATACCTAGCATTTCGAGTAATTAATTTAATAATAATTCACTGTGTCGGGGGACAGGAAGCTAGAGTGTATTCATACATGTTTGGTTTTTATTGAGGTCCCCCTCCCCCCAAGGCCAAATTACTGACCCCGCTCAGGATGCAACCCCACAAGCTGACTAACTTCTGAATACCTACTCGCTGCTAGGTGAACAGACCCCCCCTGCACCTGAATATCAGCCCAGGACATATTAGCAAAAACAGCTGAAATAGCACCATACTGTCAGATGTCATGGACACATGGGTAGAATGCAAGCTAGCTATACTTGATGGACATCCTGAGTGGAGTTAAGTGGACGACCTGAGAAAGACAGGGCTTGAAACAGGGGACTAAGGAAACTAGATCAACCTAAAAGATGTCCACCGATGCAGAAGCGATAGCACAAAGGTAGTAACAGAGCCTACACTAGACACAAACATGATGCACCCCTGACTGAACCAACCATCAACCACCAATGGACCCCCTCCAGAAACCAACCGATTCATTCTTCGCCAGAAAAGGGCAAATGACAGTGCTGTGGCCATCCTGAACAACATTGCGTTCACCGATACCTGAACATTGTTGTCTATCAGTCAGGCTCTATCATCACTAAATAATAGGAGCTACATGTATATTTCATAATCTTTAAGCAATGCTGTGGTCACAAGCTGGACATCAGTGCTGTTAGCTCATGCTGCATGTGCCAGTCTTGGTTGCTCACTCAGTAGTGAGCAAGTCATGGGACTTTTAAATCTTATGCAATACTCTAAACATATACAGTACACAATTTGCGCCGCCTGTAAGTTAGGCCAACATCATATACGATTTGTGCCCTTCAGGGGTTAAAGAACTCCAATTAAAGATTGTCTTCAGTTGCATATTTACTCATTTAATCTATTTACTAATTACTAATAATTTACTAATTATTAAATATTAATCTATTTACTCATTTTAATCTAGGAATCGATAAAATTGATAGTGAAGAATTCCCGAGACCCGGAACTTCAAGAACAAGAGGTTATAGATTTAAACTAACGAAACAAAGCTGCCAGAGAAATATAAGAAAATTCACTTTTGGAAACAGTGGTAGACGGTTGGTACAAGTTAAGTGAGAAGATGGTGGAGATCAAAACCATTAGTAATTTCAAAGTGTTATATGACAGAGTGCTGGGAAGATGGGACACCACGACCGTAGCTCTTATCCTGTAACTACACTTTGGTAATTACAAAGAGTAGATAAGTCATTTTTTCTTATGCCTTGAGTCACTGTCTGAATCACTGTTTGTAGTTTCAGACTTCTCCTTTTTGAGCTTTTCCATGCTAGGTGACCATGACCTTTTCCTACGTTCAGCTGGCGACAGAGATCTATTTTTACTTCGGCTTCTTGATCTCTTTTCTTTCCTTTTCTTTTTTCTACTATCTTTTTTGCTCCTCTTCTATTGTTTCATCTGTAAAGCATAATTAGAAGTAGAATCATTCATTCATGAACTTGAGACACGATTTCCAGCACAAAATGCATCATAAATTCATGTCCTTTAAACTAAAATTTAGAAATGGAGGGGGATTATTTGAAGCACTCCAATTTCACGTACCGTACTGTCTACGTTAATTTATGCCACAAGAAATGTCTGCAAAAATACAACTAATGGAAATGAACATGATATGGCCACTGATAGAATGATATAAAAGATGGCATTTGAGTCTTTGACCAAGCCTTGAATCTGGGGATTATTCAGCACTAATGATGATGTAATGACTACATCCCTTATGTAATTCAAGTTTATGAGGATTTCAGGGTTGTACGGTATAAAAATATGCACACGTGCATTCGTGTTCTATATATGCTTCGATGATAGATGATAGTTGATGTAATTTTGGGATTAATCATTCAGGACATGTGTGGTTCCATAATATTGCCTGGTAGTAATCATATGAATGTTGGAAATTTGTCAGTCTCAATGTTTCATATTGATTATCAATGACAATTCTGTATTCACAACATTCTATGACTGAATTTTATATTTTTAACCAACAATACATGTTGCTAAGTTTCTTCAAATTTTAAAATGCAACCTGGGAACCATTAAAACAAAAGTATGATAAAAGTATGGTATATTTGTAAAAATGTTGAATGCTTGATATAAGAGACCATTTTAAGTGGAATGCACAATATTTTGTGGCATCTTGTACAATCATTACCGATGGCTTCTCTTTTCCTTATCACACCTCTTTTTCCTCTTTTTCTTATCTTTCTTTTTTTTCTTATGCCTTGAGTCACTGTCTGAATCACTGTTTGTAGTTTCCGACTTCTCCTTTTTGAGCTTTTCCATGCTAGGTGACCTTGACCTTTTCCTACGTTCAGCTGGCGACAGAGATCTATTTTTACTTCGGCTTCTTGATCTCTTCTTTTCTTTCCTTTTCTTTTTTCTACTATCTTTTTTGCTCCTCTTCTCTTGTTTCATCTGTAAAGCATAATTAGAAGTAGAATCATTCATACACAAAAGTTACAACAGAATATTAGTTCAAATGTCTATTATGCTACAAGCTTCAAGGAGCAAACTATTTACAGAAGTGCTAGTCTAAAAATTTTGAACTAGATAAAAACTAATAACTTTATGGTGAACATATTAGCAAGTAACACTCAATTGTGTACCTCATATTGTCATTAATTTGAACTCCATTAACCACTGTATTGCTCAGGTATACTATATGAAAAGCCTCGAGTGCGCTGAAAAAAACAGTGTTGAATGTAATGAAACGCCATTTTCTGAACGAGCTCCAGAGGCTCCCTGGAGCTATCAGACTGATATATGCTATATTAGGCCGAGGCATCAGTCAACTGGAGTTCAGCCTACCAGGGACCACAAGCCAGAACCTGGGCCCCCTCTGAGAGGCAAAGGCCTATGGAAACCCCCGAGTTTGGGAGCATTCCACGTCTACAATTGACCGGGGTTAGGCACCCAGAAAGGTAGGCATAACAAAACAGACTACTTGGTAAGAAAATAGCAACCGAAGATCAAACAGAGGCAGAACTCCCCCAACCCAAAGAAACTAGCAAATGTCATACACCACTGCCGCGCCGCTCGTCCACACAGCCCTTCCCTGCCCAGGAGGGGAAAGAGGTAGCCCCGGGACCTCCCCCCTCCCGGCGCTGGCTACTCACACCTCTAGTTCGGAGGCTGAACATCAAAACAAAACAGAAACTGCCAACCAGAGGGAGGGAGGGTGCCAGGGAGCATTTGGGGATTGCCCAGAAAATGGTGTTTTATTACATTCAATACTAGTTTTCTGTGGGGAGCCCCTCCGGCTCCCTGGAGTTACCTAACCAAAGACAGACAAAAAAAAAGAGGAACTTACCCGGGAGGCAGCCGCCATGCACTCATCAACTTTAAGTCGAGACAACTGGCTGTGACCCAAAGCCACAGACAGGCGACCGGGACCAGGAATATTGACTAGATAAAAGGCGGCCAGGACCCTGTTTGACCTCCAAAACCCTGTACCCGAATGCAAACCCAGGCAGCCAAAGCAGCAAACTTACAAACGTCATGGGCACGAGGGTAGACCGCAGGCTGGCTAGAGCTAGCCTTAACACTTTCGCCCGGGCATGACGCAGCCTTGCGTCATCCGTTTACTGTCGATAATGCCGGGGATGACGCAGCATTGCGTCATCCACTTTAACCCTTAAAGTGCGCATCACTTCATATGAAGTGTAAATCGTTTTACCAGTCAACTGCGCTTCACTTCATATGAAGTGTATGGGTACCGCGCACGATTTGAATGGCCCGCGGTGTAGCTGGGGGTCCCATACGCTGCCCAGGGGCTCTAGTAAACAGCGGCCATTTTGAAAAAAAATCCAGCTCACGCTCCGATGGCATGGGAGGCCTCAGTTTAGCGAGAGTCACCATGGCGAGCGCACGGTCAAACGCCTCACGAGCACGCATCACTCAGTCCCTCACCCCAGAGCAAATAGCCCACGAATTATTCTCTGAAGGTGAAGAAAGTGTGTTTGACGATTCAGACAACGATGAGGATTATACACAGTTGTCGGGAGATAGTAGCAGCAGCAGTGAAAGTGAGAATGACCGCCATGCCATGGCGAGGCCTATACGCTCTCCCATGCCTCCTCGCCCATTTTCTACCCCAATTCTACCACGACCTCACAGTTCCTGTGGATATTTTCTGTTTGAGGGTGACGAGTCAGAGGGAGGTGACTCCTTTTCTGGGTTTAGTGACTCAGATCAAAGTTTTATTGAGCCTGTGGCTGGTACCAGTGGTGTAACTGGGCGAGAAATTGTCGCGTCAGCAGCATCTCGCCCAGCCAAGCGCCACCGCATGGCACCACATGAGGCACCAAGACCCTCGTGTTCACGTGCACCCACCTCACGTGCACGTAGCCGCCGTGCTTCTCGCAGACGGTATTCAGCTCCTGGTCGCCGGTATGCATCGCTTCCTCGCCGTCTTTCCTCTGCATCTCGCAGGACGCCTGGTGTACTTGAGTGGAGTGATGGTGACGATTTTATTCCTAATATTCCTCACTTTGACGATAAAGATGTAGGGATTACAAACCTTTTCCCTAATCAAGGTGAGGACATGGCTGAGATGGAATATTTTACAGCATTCTATGATGAACCACTCATGGAATACATTGTACACCAAACGAACCTGCATGCTGCTTACCTGATTGAGAGGGAAATCACAGAATTTTCACGACTGCAGCGTTGGAAAAATACCACAGTGGCGGAAATGTATGTGTTTTTGGCACTCTGTTTGTTGATGAAGCACTGTCACAAACATGCAATAAATGACTATTGGAGCAAGGACAAGACAATACCAACACCTTTATTCGGGAAATATATGTCACGAGACAGGTTTCAGATACTCCTCAGGTGTCTACATTTTGGAAGTGTTCAGGACCGAACACCTGATGATAGACTGTGGCGAGTGAGGCACTACATGAACGATGTTATTGGAAAATTCAGAGATTTTTACGTACCAGCACAGAAGCTGGTGGTTGATGAATCTCTCATACTTTTCAAGGGACGTGTTCCATTCAAACAGTACATTCCCTCAAAACGAAACCGATTTGGCCTGAAATTTTTTGTTCTTTGTGATTGTGAGACAGGATACGTGTTACACATGATTCTGTACTCGGCTAGTGATGTAGACATTCCCGGTAACGACGAACATGGATTCTCGGGGAGTGTAGTGAAGACCATCATGGCTCCGTGGATGAACAAGGGACACATTTTATACACAGATAATTACTATACAAGTCCCTTGCTAGCTCGGTTCTTGCTAGAAAATAGAACCGGATTGGTTGGTACAGTAAAGCCACAACGAAGGGAAATGCCTGTGTTTGACAACGACATTGCAGTTGGTGAGTGTCAGAGAAGGAAAAGTGATAACATTCTGTCAGTTCGGTGGAAAGACAAAAGAGAGGTGAACTTGTTGACAACAATTCATGATGGAACAATGGTGAACAGTGGGAAAGTGAGCCATAAAACAAACGCACCACTATATAAGCCAGACTGTGTTTTAGACTATAATATCAACATGCGGTTGATTGATAAATCAGACATGATGATTGGCACTGCAGAGTGTGTGCGGAAGACATGTAGGTGGACGAAAAAAGTGTTCTTCCATCTTGTGGACATGAGCATGCTGAACTGTTTCAACATGTACCTTGTGAGAACTGGACGTAAGCCCACTTTCCGAGACTTTGTATTTGATGCTGCAATACAGTTATTAGGAAAGTTTGCAAAAGATGTCCCAGGTATTCAGCGGCCCATCATAAACCCACTGTTGCAGCATGCTGGTACTCCACGCCTCGCTCACACTGAAGGCTTCCTAGCACACAAACTTAAGTATTTGCCACCTGGTGTGAAGCGTGCAATAGCCCAATGTGATTGCTTGGTGTGTAAAACAACGACACGTAGAGACAAGAAACGGAAGCTTGTGCAAACATGGTGTGAAACGTGTGGTATCCCATTATGTGCTGTCGACTGCTTCAATGACTACCACAGTCTAGAAATCTTCTAAGTGTGCTTCAAAGTGTGTATAGCGTGTGCGAGTGTGTAAATATGTAAACATATAAGCAGAACATATAATATAATAGACTGTAATGACATATTATATTGCCGTAATTGAAAACATTTGTGTGCGCCTGTGTATACTCAAATATGCAACAATTATTGATACAAAATATGTTCAAACAGTATTTGAAACACAATTAGTGAAAAAAAATTAGATAAAATGCGCTTAGACATTGTAAATAAATAACGCGAAAATATATTTGTGGCAACTTTGGCTGTTTGAGGACCGCGCGCAACATCTCCCGGGCGTGTACTGCATGAGCGACCATGCAGATTGTGACGTCATCGCAGAGCTTCTCGGCTCTATTGCAACAAAAGTAAGTACAATAGAATTTTTTTTTTATTTTTCCCGTGATCAGTGAACAGAACTTAACAGATTAGCAAAAAAAAAAAATTTTTTTTTTTTCAAAATGACATGCGCCTGTGTGGATAGCAGAATATTAGACCCCGAGCATGTTAAGGGTTAAATAATCGCCAAAAATCAGGTTTTTATCCAATTTTGGGGGGACTGGTTTTAAAATGCGCGCCGATGTCTTCCCATTTTCTTTGTTGAGCCTTGTGGCCCTCAGGCGGCTTGGCACACGCCGTGGGCCCATTGTTTTCGCTCCACTGTTGTGACCAATGTCGCCTCCCCTCGCATCTCAAACGTGTGAACATTTCGGCTATTTTCCGTGGCTATATTTCTTACTGCGGCTTTAGAAACTATCTACGCTTACTCCACAATGGATAGTGATCATGAACAAGGCCCTTCCAGGAAGAAAATTGCGAAAGAAAGGCTTGAAAAGGGCGGGAATTGGGAGTGTAGCTGGAAGGCGTCTGAGCGCTCACTTGCGGCTAACGCATGGCCCATCTTCAACTCGTCGGCGGTTGGAGCGTGACCAGGTTTTTTATTTTATATGCTAATGTTCCTCTAGAGAATTCTATTGCGAACCCATTGAGACCAAAATGAAAGACCTAGGACGAAGATTGAGGTGACCAGAGCGAAAATAGTGAAAACATTTTATCGCGTTTGCACGCTCCTGGGTAACTCGTTCGCACTTTCTCTGTTTGCTGCGGGTAATTAGCCGGGCTTTTGGAGTTTATATGCATTTAGTGCTGTAGAGAATTCTATTGCGAACACAATGATACAAAATTTAATCTCGTAGGACGAGAATTAAGGTGACAAAGTTGAAGAGAGTATACACTTTTCAGAATTTACGCACGCTCCCGTGACACCCTGGGTCCATATCGCACAGTTGAGGGGTGGCGTGCGGGGTACGCCAAAGTGTTAAGAACCCTGCAGATGACCTGGGAGACCCAGAGCTCTGGAACTGGGAAAGAGGGAAACCGGATCAACCCAAAGTGCGACTCCAGCCATAGAAGACGAGGCG